GAACCCGAGAAGCTTGCCCGCAGGCACGCCGAACACGCACTTGTCGGGGTTCAGCTTTATGCGGGCGGAGCGGAGACTTTCGAAAGTTTCCGCTAGATCCGAGAGTAAGGTCTCTTGGTTGCGCGTTTTCACAACCAAGTCATCAACATAGGCCTCAACATTACGTCCTATTTGGCTACCCAAAGAAATTCGAGTAGTACGTTGAAAAGTAGGACCTGCATTCTTTAACCCGAAAGGCATTGTCGTATAACAATAAGTTCCTATGGGGGTAATGAATGCAGTTTTTTCCTCATCCTCCCTAGCCATGCGAATCTGATGATAACCAGAGTATGCATCTAGAAAACACAAAAGGTCGCACCCTGCGGTGGAGTCGACAATCTGATCTATGCGTGGCAGGGGGTAAGGGTCCTTAGGACATGCCTTGTTAAGGTCGGTGTAGTCGATGCACATCCGAAGCTTGCCGTTCGCCTTGGGAACGACGACCGGGTTCGCCAGCCACTCCGGATGGATGACCTCACGAATGAATCCGGCCTCCAGAAGTCGCGCCACCTCCTCGCAGATGAAGGCTTGACGTTTCGGGGCCTGCCGCCGCACTTTCTGCCGGACCGGCCTTGCGCCCGGCCGCACGGCGAGACGGTGCTCAATCACCTCCCTGAGGACCCCGGGCATGTCCGCCGGTCTCCAGTCGAAGACGTCGGCGTTTGCCCGCAGGAAGGAGACGAGCGCGTCTTCCTATTTGTCGTCCAGAAGACCACCGATTCGTGTGGTCTTGGACGGGCCGTCGCCCAGGGCAACCTCCTTGACCGGGACCTCGTCGCACGTGATCATCCGCTGCTTCGGGGCGGCTGGGACGGAGGTGCTGAGCCTCTCGTCGCCACCCGCGGGCTTGGACGCCGCGGCGAGGTGGTCCGCGCGCTGCTCCATACAAGCAAGCGTGACTTTGAGGTCGCCATGGACGGTGATGGGGCCACCGGGGCCCGGCATCTTCATCTGGAGATAGGCGTAGTGGACCGCCGCCATGAACTTCACCAACGCGGGCCTCCCCAGGACCGCGTTGTAGGGCAGACTGAGGTCCGCCACATCAAAGTTCACCCGCTCCATGCGGAAGTTGGCAGAACCACCGAAGGTGACCGGAAGGTCGATATGACCTAGCGGCCAAGTGTGCCCCGGCGTCACACCGATGATCGGCTGGGACGGCCGGAGCACCATCCCCGGGGCCTTGATAGCGTCAAAGGCTGCGGGGGAAAGGATGTTGAGGGCTGCACCCCCGTCTATAAGGACACGCCCCAACTTCACATTGCAAACGGTGGGGGAAACCACCATCGCGATCTGTCCTCCCCGGGCAACGCACGGCGGGTGGTCGGTCTGGTCGAAGGTGAGGGCAACCTCCGACCACCGCGCCCGCCGCGTCGCCTCATGGGTAGGGGCCGTGGCCAGAAGCTCTCGCTTCATGGCCTTGAGGCTCCGGCGAGAAGCGTGAGCGCACGCTCCCCCATCGACGGTGGCGACGGTGGCCTCAGGCTCCTGGAACCCCAGGTCATCGTCGCCATCGTCGACGTCCTCGGCGGTGGCCTTCTGCTTGGCCTCACCTCGACGGTTGCCTGTGGGAGCCGCCGGGGCCTTGCCCTCACAGCGCTCCTGCCTCCTCTCCTCCTCCCACTTCCTCGTCCGCTCAGCCAAACTTTTGACCGCGCGGCAGTCCGCGAGGTCGTGGAGGGAGGTGTTGTGCACGGAACACCACTTGCCGGTCGGGCGCTCACTGCTGGGAGCGCCGACCTCCTTCTTTTTGTCGCTCGCAGGCCTCCCCTTTCGGGTGGCCCGCGAAGCGCCCTCGACGGCGAGGACGTGACCCTCGTCGTCGGAATGGGCCGACCTCTTCTTCCTCCTCCTGTCCCGCCGCCCTGACCGAGCGGCGGACCCGGGGGCGGCCGGAGCTGCCACATCGGAACCGGAGGAGTTCCAGGTCCAGGCCTCCTCCTTGCGAGCCACACAGTCCGCGAGCTGGAAAAGCTCCGCGGTGGTCTGGGGCTCCTTGGAGGCGATCTTCTCGAGCATGCGGTTGTGCCGCACGCCCCCCCTGAATGCGTAGATCACCGCGTGTGCGGGGATGCATGGTATGGTGTTGCGGACTTGACAAAACCGCTGAATGTACGAGCGAAGAGACTCATCGTCCCTTCGCTGTACCGCATGCAAGTCCGCTTCTTCACCTGGGCGCGGATATGTGCCCTGGAAGTTCATGGTGAACTGCTGGCACAAATCCTCCCAAGAGTGAACCGACGCGGGTGGCAAGTTCATTAGCCAACCCCGCGCCTGACCTTTCAGGGCCATAGGGAAGAAATTCGCCATGACCCTGTCGTCACCCCCGGCGGCCTCGATCCCGGTCGTGTAGATCTGGAGAAACTCGGCGGGGTTGACGCTTCCGTCGTATTTTTCGGTGATGGTGGGCCGGAACCTTGGGGGCCAACGGACGTTCCGAAGGCTCGCCACAAAGGCTCGACAGCCGGCACCACCAACCGGGGACACGGGGGGCTGGCCCCCGTGCCCGGACCGAAGTGGCGCTCCGGACGAGGAAGCGCCCTCCGTTGCGTGGGCAGCATGACGACCATTGCGCCGGCGCTCGATATTGAGGCGGGCATCTGGCCCCCCACGCACATCTTCTTGGGTCGGAGGCGTTGACGAGGGAATGGCGGACGAACGGCGGGTAACGGCCGCCGCTCGCCGCGCCCTCCGCCTCGACGACACGGAGCCGACGGTAGCAGCGCCAGAGGCCTTGGTGGCGGAGGACCGCCCGCCGGCGCCTAGGCGCTGCGGCGCCGTCATGACCAAGTCGGCCATGTCATCCAGCCAACGTCGGGCTGGAGTCTCTGGATCGGGGACGACGGGCGGGTGACGCAGGAGTGCGCCCGCAGCCTGGAGCGCGCTCTGGGGCGTGCTGCCATCGCCGTAGACGAGGAGGCGACGCTCCCCGTCTCGCCGTCCTTCTCCATCGCCCGCAGGCGGCGAAGTCGCGGATCTTTCGACCCTCTCGAGCGCCTCCTCCCGCCCAAGACTTCGGCGAGAGGGGGACGGTGGAGTACGAGCTCGACGGCGCGGGTTCTGCTCCCCGTCGTCACCGCTAGCGCTCGGAGAGAGGTTGTGCGCCACTGCCCGTTCGGCCATTGGGCTGAGCGGGAGAAGCTTGGCGCACACGAAAGAGGACGAGGGCTTAGAAAGACACACGCGCCCCCTACCTGGCGCGCCAGATGACGGAGCGTGGGGCTCCTCACCGGGAGACCGCGCAGGCCCCCCTTTGCCGGTTCGGCCGGGGGCGCTAAGTGAGGTTCTTCACCCTCGATCTGTGGAATGTTCGCGAGAGAGCAAATGCACAAGACACGGGCGATGTAGACAGGTTCGGGCCGCTGAGAAGCGTAATACCCTACTCCTGTGTTCTGGTGGATCTGTGTGTGAAGGAGTTACAGAGAGCCGGAGAGCAAGAGAGTTCAGGCTCTAGAACCCCTCTTCCCCTTTCTCTCCTCTACGAGCTCAGGTATTCCCAGAGTCGTCTGAGAGTCCCCCTCTCTCAGAGTTCCCGTGGGCAAGGTCCTCCTTTTATATCTCAAGGGGATACCACATGCACCACTTCTACCTACTCTTCTTTTGGGTGGGGACCCACCCTATCTTGACCAAAACTTGGCTCGCGCCTTCGCCTGGAAGCTAAATCACAGCTTGTCCTTGAGTGAGGCCCAGCGCCGTCACTCGCCTCCACTCCGCCGGAAGCAGATGCAACGTGGGAGCACGGTTGTCTGCCGATGACGTGACCGGTGTTAGACCAGTCACAAACCGGTCATTCTTGTCCACCACGCGTCAGTTTAGCATGCCACACGTCTGCCCTTCTTCATACAATGACTTCCTTGCCATGGTTGCGATGAAGCCTGGAATGGATCTGACCGGGACTGACATGCCAACTCCAGGAGTTACCACGCCGGCTCCGGCTAGGGACGAGAGCCAGGAAGCTCTCATCATTCCGACGGGACGGGGCGAGGCGTGTGACAGGCCGCCTGTTGCCACCTAACCCGCGATCTGACTGGTCTCACACACCGCGACTGGTCACGGACCGGATAAGCGTGCGCTGCGCCGCATTAAATGCGGCGTGGCGCGCTCGTCCAACCTGCTATAAATGCGGTTAGGTGAGCCCCGCTGTGCTCACCTAACCCACACAAGTGGCGCCAAAACCACAGGGGGTCGGGGCGCCCCAGCCCTCGGGGCCGAAACAGGGGCGGCCCGACCCCTCGGGGAGACGGAGGGAGGGGTGGCCGTGTCACCCTCGGGCCCGACCCCCCCCCCCCCCCCGAGGGGGTCAGGCCACGTGGGTGACCGCGGCTATCCAAGCCTCTAGTCACGATACCCCCGGCCCCATGTCACCGACATGATGTTTTTAGAAAAAATTTTTGGGAACTAAACGGGCCCTGCCCTTAGTTACAGCAAACAGATTGAAACAACCATACTAGCTAGAGGGCGGCTAACACCTCGTGGCATCTGCGTTTTTAGGTTTTGCCTGCATGTGTCTCGTAGCTTTCCTCCTAGCTAGGAATCAAAAATCAATTCTTAGCTTTCCTCCTGTGAAACAAGAGCCATTCGATTGGAACGACCGCGAGAGACGTATGGAACAGAACAATTATTACAGGCGGCCAGCGCCTCATGGCTTTTACCTTGGACTCGGTGGTTCACTGGCCCTGGGCCCTGGCCTGTTGAGTACATGTCACGGATGTCGGTCTGTGGCAGTAGGTGTTATGAACCTTTTCTCTAAAGAAGCAAGTAAAATAGAGTGGCTTATTATTAATCATTAGCTTAAAAAGCTTTAGAAAAATAGATTAATATAAAATTTCAAAGATACCTTTTAATAGTTTTTTTTAAAAAATTAACTCTATCCCAAAATACTTGTCGTTTTAAGTTTTATTTAATATTTGACTATTTATCTTATTCAAAATATTAAGGAATTATTATTTATTTTGTTTGTGACTTATTTTATTATTAAAAGTATTTTAAGTATAACTTGTCTCTTTTTATATTTGCACAAATATTTTAAATAAAACGAATGATTAAGCGTTAAAAAAAGTCAAAACGACGTCTAATTTGGAATAGAGGAATTATACTGTTTAATAATTTGGAAAAAACGTGTTTAATAATTTGGAAAAAACGTGTATGTAGACAACGAGAAAGAAGTTGAGAAAATATAGATTAGAACGCACCTTTCACGCGAGTATTTGCCTTTCCATGAATCCACCTATGCTCAGGTTTTACCTGACAAAGGCAAGGCCCTGGGGGTATGCACTACGCTGACTGCACGGTCGCAGCAGCCGAGGGGCCACCACGCGGGCGGCGCGAGGTGGCGGAGGCGGAGCTACAAATATCCATCCCTTCCAATCCAGGCTTCCACTTCCATCGCATCGATCGAGTCGGCTGCTTGCCTGCACTGAATACTGATCGATATTCCATCACACTCACTGCCTCTTGTGCCACTCTCTCGCTTGCTCGCCGTTGCTGAGCTCAATTTCATATCCTTTCCTCCATGGCGATGTGGAGGGCACCGTCGGCGGCGGGGCAGCTGCTCGGCCGCGCGCTTGCATCTACGGCTGCGCAGGTACGTATCCTTCTCTTTCCTAGCTATGTTCCGCGCTTCCTATCTCAGCTTATAGCCATTGCAGGGTTTACGATTCCGACGACATTTGGTCGGATTTCGCGAAAATTCGATATTTCGACGAGGCTCGAAAGTAGAAACCGTATGAGATTTCGAGAAGTTTCATCCAAATTTAAATTTGAATTGATAAAAAAAGAAAAAAAATCAAATAAAATCTTATAAATACTATGATATTCATAGAACCTATTGGGATATAATTTTTCCAAAAAAATGATGTATTGTGTGTATTTACTGAAACTTACATCAGGAAAGAAAAGAATAAAGAATTAAAAAAAGGAAAACACTTAGATGGACCGGATTAGTGATCGAAATTTCGCCAAAACCGACCGGTTTTCAAGAACTTGTCGGCAAACTTAGGGAATTTTTATTCAAATTTTGGTTTATGAAATTTGTTCGAAATTTACTAGTTTTCCACCGGATTTCGCGAAATTCCGAATTCCGCCAGTGCCCGAAACGGAAGGGCCTGTCGGAATCGTAAACCCTGGCCCATCGTTTCTCAAGCGCGGGCTTTCTAAACGGTTGAACAATATGTTTTTAAAAATATTTTCTATAAAAAAGTTATATTAACTTTTATGTTTTTTACTAATACTTAATTAATCATGTACTAATAAGTTAATAATTATGTACTAATGAACTATCTCGTTTTCCATAACGGATGAGATGAGATCCGAACCTCTAGGTTCAAACCTCTATATATATATATATATATATATATATATATATATATATATATATATATATATATATATATATATATATAGTTGCAACCCACTTAATATAATCCTATCTTACTATAAAGTTATCCCCCACTAACTCCTTAAGCTTAACATGCAAAGATGCCACATCATCATCCACTAATTAACAAAATGCCACATCATTATCCACTAACAATCATCACATTTAAACATCATGCAAACATGCTATATCTTTATAGTTTTTATAATTTAGGAGCTTTTCAAATACAAACATGTTAAATTATCATCCAACATAATTCATATAATGTTTCAATACATATCTTTATTATGTTTTATAATATTCTATGGTCCAAATTATCTTTCTCCTTCTTTCCTCTAATTAAGTCATATCACATCAATTGTTTTTAGCTTTTAGATGATTAATCTACGGTCTAAACTATATCCCTACTTTTCTTCTTTCATAAAGTCGTACCACCTTACTTTTTACGTTTGAATCATCATTCTACATACTATTTAAATTTATATTATCATAAACTACATTAATTTACTTAATCTGATATTATCTAGCTATCTTACACGTTATTTTTTTATTGTTATCATACTAAATTCCCGCAGCAATGCGCGGGGGTTTCACCTAGTTACTCTGGTAAAGAAGCCACCACATTGACTCTTGTCATTGTCAATTTATCATCCGTTGAATTTCATTTGGATGTTTAGAAGTTCATTTCATGTTTGATTACTCATTTACTTTGCTATTCACATGTACTAAGCGCGTTGAGAAATAAGCAGTAACCTTTCACGTGTTGTCATATTCCAATAGAAGTAATTAATATTCTACTCCACATAAACAACTGTACAACATGATTTATACTAACAAACTTCACATTTAGAGCCCCACCAAAAAAATCAAAAAGCCATTATCCAGAAATTTCCGTAGCAACGCACGGGGAATCACCTAAAAATTCAATGACCAGTCTATGCTCCAGTCCTCTCGTTTCTCACTATTCAGGAAGGATGCGCGTGAAAAAGGGAAAGTATATATAGAAGTTGAAAAATATACAATCGAACATAGCCAAATGTTCTGTAATCAAAAAGAAAATGGCAACGAAAATCTGTTTCTGGTACACTTTTTGATTGTTTCTGTTTTTAGCTATATATAACATTTATATATATTTTTAATTTCTTTTCACTTCATATTGCAATCGCCACTAAATTGATAAATTGATAAATATGAGAATTTTTGACCGATCGAGAATCGGTTCTGTATAAATAATATTGTTTCTGACCGTTTTCATCCCAATGTAATCGGCTTTTAACTATTGCTCCTCTTTGGTAGACACATTTAATTCGTCACACAGCACCAACCTTATAAAATAGTAATTACCTTGCACACGATGGGAACACACTATTTCATTCCATATTTTTGGGTAGGCCCAGACAGTCACATTTGTATCTGCACTACATATAACATATATGACCAAACAATGCAAGTAGAGTGTTAAAAACTATTTAATGACATATCAGAAAAAATACACAATATTGTTAATTTGTAAGCTCATCAAATGGTGATTAACAAATCTTTTATCCATGTTCACAAGTGAAATCATAAACTCATAATTTTTGTTGTATGTTTGATAATACAAAACATTTCGGCTAATACAAATTTTCCCATATCCTATTTCATATATTTCGAATTTGGATTTGGACACGGATCATACCAGGTAATCATTTTTCTTTACCGTATCCTTGCCATAAACATCTGGTCAGCAGACGGGCTGAAAATACCTGTCACGTTTATACCCCTGCCTGTCGGGTTTTCTTTATTTCCCGAGAAATGTTTCCTTTTTTTTTCTCAGGAATGGTGATGGACAAATAATCATAACCAATATAACTAGGAGTGTAAGTGGCTAACCCGCGAAATCCACTTATAGGCTAAAACAAGCCATCAACCCGCTTATTTTAACCTATAAGTTGTTCACAACTGACCCACTTACACCCCTAAATATAACAAATCCACTTGATCAACAAATTTGTTCTATGCAGCTCGATATGACGAATGACACCTTTTGGTTTCCCTCTTTGTACCGCAGACATCAGCAGGCAGCAAGAAGGTCGTGGGTGTGTTCTACAAGGGTGGCGAGTATGCCGACAAGAATCCCAACTTCGTCGGCTGCGTCGACTCCGCTCTCGGCATTCGCGGCTGGCTTGAATCTAAGGGGCATCGCTACATTGTCACCGATGACAAGGAGGGGATAAACTGCGGTTAGTAGTACTCTCCCTCCGTCTAAAAATTAAGAAGTATGTATTTTGTTTCAGTACAATAAAGCCTTCACATAATACTTAAAGACTACTTTTGAATACAAATCAAATAAGATCAAATTTATGTCATGAAATTAAGAGTAATTCTTAGTCAAAGCTTATGTTGTTGAACTGAAGGAGTATTAGCTGTGATCAAGAGGTAGTTTCTACGAACAATTTCGATAAACTTTTTTTGAGCATTCCGTAGCATCTATCAGCATGTAGACGTGTATTTTGGTTGGCAGCCGGCTGGAATTAATTTTATCTTATGTTTTTCATGCTGGCCTGATGTTCAGTTAATTCAAATTCCTGTATGACCAGTTTTTTGCGCAAATGTTTCAAACATGCATTATATTTTTTTCCTTTTTTGTCTGATGTCTTATCTGTTCGTTGAAAAAATAAACCCTATAACAACATAATGGGTAATTTTTCTATCCTTAACAACATATCAATAGGCATCACATTTTTTACAGTAAAATTTAGTACGTCTGAGTACATCTCCAGATACTAAATACCTTGAGGTATCTGAAGGATCATAAAATTTCTCTGACTAAATATATAGGTCTTAAGTCTGAATTGCGCACACAACTGACGCTTCTGTTGTACATCAATTCCCAGAGCTGGAGAAGCACATCGAGGATGCCCACGTCCTGATCACCACCCCATTCCACCCAGCCTACATCACCGCAGAGAGGATCAAGAAGGCCAAGAACCTGGAGCTTCTTCTCACGGCCGGGGTCGGGTCAGACCACATCGATCTCCCAGCAGCCGCGGCAGCAGGTCTAACCGTGGCGGAGATCACCGGCAGCAACACCGTCTCCGTGGCTGAAGACCAGCTCATGCGCATCCTGCTTCTTCTCAGGAACTTCTTGCCTGGTCACCATCAGGTAATGTGTTAAGCTTCACTAGTCCTTTTACAACCCTATCTAGCCCTCGTATATTTTTAGTTTAAATAGAAATAGAAATTCAGTTTATCCTATTTTAAACTCAGTCCTTGAATTTCGCAGACTAAAATGTTAGGTTTTTTATTATCACCCATCAGATCGTTAATGGCGAATGGAATGTCGCGGGCATTGCCCACAGAACCTATGATCTTGAGGGCAAAACTGTGGGCACTGTTGGTGCTGGTCGCATCGGCAGGCTCCTGCTTCAGCGTCTCAAGCCCTTCAACTGCAACCTGATGTACCATGACAGGGTGAAGATTGACCCGGAGCTTGAGAAGGAGATTGGGGCCAAGTATGAGGAGGATCTCGATGCCATGCTTCCAAAGTGTGATGTCGTTGTGATCAACATGCCTCTTACGGAGAAAACAAGGTTTATCGTCCTTCATTGCGTTCTTGTTTATTGTTCCAAAATTTCTGTGCTAGCACATTGTCTTATCTGAATTTGTATGCTTTTTTGTTCAGAGGTATGTTTAACAAAGAGAGGATTGCAAAGATGAAGAAAGGTGTGACCATTGTGAACAATGCTCGTGGAGCAATCATGGATACCCAGGCGGTTGCTGACGCTTGCGCCAGTGGTCACGTTGCAGGTATCACCATATTTTCATTTATTTTTTAACTATCTTGCATATTAGCATGCCATCGGATTTTGGAGCCTGTCATGCTTCACATTTGAGAGGGTTGATATGAAAAAAAAAACTTAAAAATCAGGACAACTAATAACCAAGTAAGGCAGTATATCTGTTTTTTTTTCTCGAATAACCAAGTAAGGCAGTATATCTGTCAAGCATGATATTTTGTTTTTCCCAAATTATTGAAGAAAATTTTGTCAGAAAGAAAAAGAGTGTTGTGCACCTATGTAAATTAGCTGTCTCTGAAAGAACAAACCCTCATCCTTGTGTTGTCAGGATATGGTGGTGACGTCTGGTTCCCCCAGCCAGCACCAAAGGATCACCCATGGCGATACATGCCCAATCATGCTATGACCCCTCACTGCTCTGGGACTACAATTGATGGACAGGTCAGCTTCTATGTTTCCTACTCTCTCTATTTAAAAAAAAACTTAAATCCTAAAAATGAATCTGTATCTAGATTTATCATTTGGATTTAATTCCTTTTGGACTAGAGGAAGTACTTTATCTTAGGGCATAAAAGAGAATAAAATTCAGCATCTTATTCTTCTGTGTTAGTGGTACCCCACCGATGATTTTGACAAAACTGTAGAGCATCATGTCAGCTATTGAGACGATCACTTAGCTATTCACACCCCTACACAGATGCTAATTAGCTATACAGATGTTAATTGGCACATTTTTTTAATTAAACTACAAAAGTAGGTGCATACACACAACACCACACTCACAACCTCGCGAATGCGTCCCCTAACCCATGCTCTAAGAGACGGAAACCAACGACACATATTTTCCATAACACATAGATAAATAAGCCAGTTTATTGTCTATTAGGGTCAGTTTATCGTCTATTAGGATCAAAATCACATCAGATGTTTGTTTTTGTTTTTACTCAAAGCTAGATGCAAGTGCTTCAAATCATATATGCAAGTCAGCCATAAGGTTTTACCGGCTGGTGTCTGTAACGAATTTTGATGACAAATAATGAAAATCTTTCGTGTAGCTGAGATACGCGGCGGGGGTAAAGGACATGCTGGACAGGTATTTCAAAGGGGAGGACTTCCCGGCGCAGAACTACATCGTCAAGGCAGGCCAGCTCGCCAGCCAGTATCAGTAATAACCCCCCCTTGTGTGTTGGGTGGGTGTCCATATATCCTCTGTTTATTCCTCAAGTGTGGAATTATTTCTCAAGGGAGAGAGGGACGGATAGGAGCCAACAGCCAAGAAACACCCTCTGTTAATGTTGTAGTAACTTGTATGAGTGTTGAAATAATGAATGCCTGGAAGGCTGGAATAAACAGCTCAGTCCTGTGTCGGCATCTTGCATGTACTCTATGTTCTTTGTTTTCTGTTGCGGTTTAGTTATATGGTACCGCTGCACATCCCCTTTTTTTTATATAAATTGGTCATTTTCAAAAAGTTATTTCGAAACTAACCGTGCAAAAAACTTCAACCAAAAATAGGCCATTGGCTTAGCACCAACCGCCTTGGCGTTGAGGTTAGTCGTCTCAGCGCCATGAGCATTGGTACTAACCCCCTACCAAAGTGGTGGCCGATCCCCCCGCTGGTGTGGCAGGGGAGTCAGCGCCAACCGCTTTTGTGCTAACCCCTCTAACCTTAGCGCTAGCCACGTTGGCGCTGAGGTAGGGGAGCCGTGCCAGCCAGGCATTCCTCTCTTCTTCCCTGTTGGCTAGGGTTTGCTCGTCCTCCTCTCCCACGACGCCCTCTCTCATTCCCTCCAAAATATCCTTAAATCTCCCTCAAATCGAAGGTTATTTTATGGGCATTGCTTTGGAGATTGATTTGTAAGATAAACCCCTCCAAAAACCCTAATTTCCCCAAGGTTTGCCTCATTTTTGTTGGGTATTTTGGTTGAAACCGTGGGTTGTTGAATGTGGCTTGGGATGAGGTGTGAATTGGGGAATGTGGGTAAGGATGTAATGTTGTAGTTGTATATTGATGTTGGTACGGAGAATTCATATTGATTTTGCAAGTTTTGTACTCTTTTGCCATGGGTGAATTTGGGAGGGATGCATAGTGCTCTTGTGTTATGAATATTTGGGGATTTATGTTGATTCATGTTGATGTTGATAGGTATAGATCCTAAGAATATTGTGACCAGTGGTTAGGCTTTAAAATTACAAGAATCTCGTAGGTAGTTTTGGGGTACCCATGTCAATTTTCTATTTTTAAACTAGCGTATTATTTTAGAATCATGCACTTTTATTTATCGGTTAAATGATGTAGATAGATAGATTGGTAGGACTCCATTTTGTTGGTTGTGTGGTAAATAAAAGTACCGGTGGAAGCCAATTTGAGGGGATGACTAGTGTTTCATGCTAAACCCACATTTGAGGAGTTAATTTCCCGCATGAAGGATGAATTAGATTGGAGTGGTGAGTCGATTGATATGCAAGGGAGATACGATGTGGGTGTCGGTCCCATGTCGCATAAGTTTATGTTAGACTTGAATGGAGAGGTGGAATGGGAAACATATATAGATATAGCATTGGGATCACAGTTCAAATCGCTTGAGGTATTTGCTTGGAAGAAAGAGCGCAAGGAATCGAAGAACGATGTGTTTGTAGCGAATCGAAAGAAAGAATTAATTGAGAAAGATGCGGAGGTAGGGGACAAAGTACAAGTTGAGGAGGATGTGGAGGTAGGGGAGGAAGTACCGGATGAGGAGGATGTGGAGGTAGGGGAGGAATTGTCAGATGATAATCTGGATGTAAATTAAGCGGAGAATGAGATGAGAGTTGATCCTAATGATAGGTAGATAGATGGCTACATTCATAAGAGAATTGCTTCAAAGAAAAATTTACACCCACCAGGAGTGTGAGGGGGCTATGATATTTAATGGATTGAACTCATATTTGTTGGATGTTGATTAAGAGGATGAAGTGGATGAGTATGCTTCTAACTCAAATAGATGGTGCATGAGGCATTTCTGTGCTAACTTTTATACCGTTGAAGCTGCTCAGGATCAGATGAAATATCTCGAGCGCATATGTCAAATAAACAAAAAAGTTCCGTTCCTAAGTGAGATTAAGCGCCTCATGTGTTTCGTTGAAGAGGGACCGAAGAGGTGACTAGAGGACAATATGCCACTTAAGGTTAAATGGGCAAGATCATTTGATATCGATGGACGTCGATACAGCTTCATGACTAGCAATATGACCGAGAGTTTCAACAATGTCTTGAGAGGCATTCGAAAACTGCCCATGACGGCTATTGTGGTGTACGCATTCTCGAAATGCAATACTTGGTTCATCGATAGACATAAAGTAGCTACCGCGGAAATCCAGAGTGGGCACAAGTGGCCTAAAAAAAAATTAGGCAAATCCTGGAGGAGCAGAAAAAAACAAACTTTGGGTTAACTAACATGTTTCGATTTTCCTTCCACGAAGTATGAGGTTACCGAGCAAGGTGGACGTCACTCTGTGTGGTTGCAAGAAATAACACATGTACTCGTCATTTCCCTGAACTCCGCCATATGCCATGTTCACACATGATAACCGTTTATAGAGTCCGAGGTTTGGACATGGAGGTCCCCCCACGGATGTGTTTCGAAGTTTCCAATGAAGTTGTGCAGCACACGAACTCCCCAAGTTTTGAGCCCTACTTAGATCCATCTTAGTGGGTGAGTTATGGCCATGTGCATCTGTTTTGTACTTGCCATCCAGCAGTCGTCGCGCACGCGCACACAGTGGTGCATGCATATGAGATTCATCATGCATGATGATGTTGTTTTCCCATCCCCTCTTGCTGCATGTGGATTTGCCTCAACAAGTGAAAGAAAAGTTGCTATATAGTGTTTCCAGGAGACATGCAGTGCTGCAGCATTGTATCCAAATACTGTACATACATACAGCTTTTGAATTGCTCTGTTAGTGTGTCTGATTTGCTGCATCTACCCACTCCAGCTGCTGTAAGGCATCAGCTTTTGCATCCCCCTTCTAGAGGGAAGTGAGAGACCGAGAGAGCGAGAAAAGTTTTTTTTAGCTTTGCACCTTTTGCCGTTTCGAGCAAGCTAGGCCGCAACGATCAGGGCTAATCAATGGCGAAGCCACAACGGGTGCCCGACTAGGCCTCGCACCCCCATGTGGCCATGCGAGAACAGCCCCCCCCCCCACTACCGGGGTGGGGGGGGAGGGGGAGCAAGTGATTAGCCTCTGCTCCCATATAATTTGCTCAGTAATTGCGAATTGAAGCTAGCTAGCTAACTGCCTATTGGTTCTAGCTTACTTGGTTAGTTACGAGAGTTAATTAAGTAAAGTCAGATGTGGTCGTATGGGTGCAACTGTGCAAGCCTCCATTTAAAAGAATGAATTAGTGGGCGTGATATTACATTGTCCGTATACTGAATTACTCAATTTTGAATGGGTGCTATTTAGCGACCTTGTTTCGAATTGGTGTATTTTAATCATCGATATATTAGACTACATACGGACATATGTAAACATAAACTGAAATACATCAAAAACCATATCAACAATCATTTTATACATTAATTAATATGAACGACAGATTAACATATATTTTGATAATTACACGAGAGACGACCAAACATATCAAATTTATGCATAATTACGGATTCTAATGCGAACAAGAGACATTTGTACATAGTCAAGCAATCATTCCATAGAGTCAAGCTGCCAAGGTGTTAAGGCGAATCGTGATTCATGGTTTATTATTTCTCTCGTAGCTATTAGCTAATTTTTGTGACATGATACAGATTACGCGTCAACGTCATCGTCCAGGCATCCACTAAGCTGCTAGTGAGTTCTCACGTCTTCTAGCTGGCACCCCAAATCAACAGATCCTGGCTTCGCCCCTTGCACGGGAATGGTAAACCCTATCTACCACGCACCATGTTTGAAATCTAGGACGCCACGTGGCCCCACGAAGTCACTGCCAGGTGAGGCCAACCACCCACCGCGCCTGTCCGGCTGGGTTGTGGAAAATGTGCATGCATTGGGTCCACTTCCTCCACGTCAGCTACATGTGTGTTGAGAAGAGAGTTAATGGGCGTTATTTGATTTTGCTCGGTTTGACGTTGTATCAGTTCAACGTTGCAATGATCGCTATGCGTGTGTGTTCATGTGTTTTCATGAGGCATGGTCTGATTTGAGGCCGCACGTGACATGACATCTATATGTGTACGTAGTCCCCAAGTTAGGAGTAGTACAAGGAGAAGCACCGGGCTCCAAGGATAGCGAGCAGAGAGGTTATTCTCCATTTCACTCTTCCTTTTATGTTTTAAGCATTTCTATTTATTGCACAGATTTATTGACACTAACATATTTTTTATGTCTACTGATGCAACGCCTCAAGACCCTACGAGTTAGAGCTCATACAACACACATCCCGTTCGATGACCGGTACATTCCGTTCCTACGACGAGCGAAGCTGTTGGCGTTCGTCACCATGACGCAGTGGCCCATGCCTATGTACAACGCCGCGGTACTGACGACTTTTGTGGACCGATGGAGACCAGAAGCTCACACTTTCCACCTTTCTAGCGGGGAGCTGATGGTGACACTTGAGGACAATGCCATTATCCTGGTTCATCCTTCACGGGGTCAGGCAGTCACCAGTGACACTAGTTGCGGTAACTGGAGGGGCGTGTGGTACAGTACCTTGGCGTCGAGCCTCTAGAGGCACCTGACAGGCAGAGGCTGACGAAGACCTCTAGAGTTCCACTCAGTTGGTTGCGTGCCAACTTCTCACACCGTCCTCCTGATATTGACCAGGCGATGGTTGACCAGTATTGCAAGGCGTACGTGATGTATCCTTGATGTGGTTGCCTCTGCTAGCTGATTGGGACAAGGCAGGTACCTATAATTGGGGTTCTGCTACCCTAGCGTGGTTGTACAATCACCTGTGTGATGCAGGCAGAAGGACTAGTGCAGACGCTAACTTCGCAGAATGTGTTTGGTTGCTACATGTATGTGGCTGTTGGCGGCTGTTAAATGCCAAATTTGTGCCACCAATACCTGCATAAACATAGAAAAAAAACATCCAACATAGTGGTAGGGCTTCAATCAAACATTTTCCACGAGTGTTGGTGTATATTTGGATGCAGGTACTAAACCGCCAAAGTTGGGAGGAAATCCAAACTACAGTGAAGGAAAATTTCATCCATACAAGTGTTGGGCTCTAGAACTCCATTTTAACATTAGAGAATTGGCCGAACTCTCGAAGAAATGGATAAGGTAGGCTGTGAAGGAGCAACAGGCCAGTTTCTAGGCCTGTTGGGCCAGGCCAGGGTTGGGCCGAACCCCAATCTCAGTCGTTCAGGCTGAGGTTTGGCATGGACGCTC